TGTGATATGATCTAAAGAAGAACTCTCTGCCCTTACCTTACTCTGCTGTGATGCAAATCAGTGGAAGACATTTATATGTGAAACATACTTTCATGGACCTAGGCATATTTAGATCAAACCTAAAAATAAATTTTAGGGCATTAAATTGGTTAATAGCACATATTTTCTAGAATTATTAATGTTTACAAATAACAGTGTCTTGATAGGCTACAGATAATGTATTATGGGCTACTGCAATGCCCAGAAGAGCAGCTATAATTTTACTCCTCCCCATTCCCCTGCAGGAAAGGATATTGAAGAACAGATAAGTGAGAATAACATTACAATGAAGAAACTTTTTAGTTTGTTTTGATCTACTAAAAATAAATAAACAAACAAACAAATAAATAAATAAATAAAACTGTAACTTTACTACTGATTAAAAAATGACATATAATGTCCTCACTGCGAGAGAAAGATCCTTGTGTCTGGTAACATCATGGATGTTATAAATACACATTAGAGCATCGGAATTAAAATTCACTTGCCCCATCATTTGACCTAACATAAAAATACTAACTATAGTAAGTATTAAGTATTTAAATAAACATGTCAGTTAACGTTTTTTGTGTGTTTGTGTGCGAGTTACATTTGAAATATTTTGCTAGCAGTTACTGAATTGAGAAACATTGTGAATAGGTGTGGAAAAGCCACTTTGAAAGGTTGCTCAAGGAAGTTTGTTTTGTGTAACAAATTTCCCTGAAGCTACATACACTTATCCAATATATCATTCTATTGATTGTAAGTCATTACTTAAGTTCTATATAAATACTATAAGCACTTGTTTTTTATGCTAATGAGGGTGATAGTGGGTTTCACAATGAAAAGCATTTTCAAAGGGCTGACCAGCGTCTTTTCTTTTTCTCCTATTTCTGACTTTATTCAGCGCCATAAATAGAAATATAGATCATTAATCCAAAGCAGTGTTATCAGTAAACTCTTTTTTCAACTCTTTCTAGCCACTGCCAGTTTTGACATGCAATTTTTTTCTAGTTTCCTTGTAGTGAAAGGTTTGGACAGACAGCTATACAAAGGCTAGAGAGACATATTTCTGAAAACCTGGAGACCACCCCCTTTCTTCTTGCTTTGCCCACCTATCCGTGAATTAAAAGCATGTTAAATAGGACTGCTTTTAGAATGTCTGATCTGCCTTGAAATAGTACAGATCGGAACATAACCTTAGTAATGATGATAAATATAAAATAGTACAATAATTTTTCTCCAGATGTTGACATATTTTTGTCAGGCCATGGCAGTAGTTCACATGCTATTGGAAAGTGATAAAATACTGTAATTATTAGGCCATTTACAGCAGAGATTTAATATGAAGCTTCAAAGTTTCATCCCTAAAACAATTTGCACAGACAAGCATAAGTCTCTTCTCTTTACTAATAATGGGGAAATAATTAAAGTTGTGTGATTAGAATATTAATCACTCACCAGCTAATGACCAGAGAGATGAATGATGAGACTTTCCACACCTTATCTGATGAATTATATATGATCATTGTGCCATTCAATGTCAAAATATAAAAGTTTGATCAGGAAAGGGATGTGCACACAGTCTTGACATTTTATCCACAGATTACTTATTAACTGCCAAAAAGGAAATGTTTAGAATAGGCAAATCCATAGAGACAAAAAGCAGATTAGTCGGGAAGTAACTGCTAATGGGTAAGGGGTTTCATTTAAGGGTGATGAAAAACATTCCAAAATTAAATAGCAGTGATGGTGGTACAACTCTGTGAATATATTAAAAGCCACTGAATTGCACAACTTAAAAAGATGAATTTTATTGTCTGTAAATTATATTTTTTAAATGCTGCTATTTACATAAGACATCAGATGGATGCACCATAACCGAATAACCAAATTCAGTATCAACAATAATAGGGAATACTGCCACAAATAGTACAAGCTCATTTCCATCACTTTTATTAACATTCACGTCATTTCATCAACCTTGTCATTACCAGGAATGTTCATCCTGACTTATGCCCAGTGGAACTGTTTTAAATCACTTGTGCCTGAAGTTTGCTATTTAAATCCCAGAATGGAATTGAAGCCCATGTCAGAGTGCCTTTTCATTTCACCGTTACTGTAATACTGAATATGTTTAGATTGAATCTTCTTACCACTAATGGTTCCTGTCTGTATGCACTGGCATAGGGAACTCATAAATATTAACATTGTTCCCTGATGAGGTACCATAAATTGCTCTATTTCCCAAAAAAAGTTTTTATTGAAAACTACAGTATTAGTATAACCAACCGCAAGTCCCTTTTCTCTTTCAATGTATTTTTTTAATAATAATATCAATGGATGAAGTGTCCATATTTCTCTGCTATGAACTTGTACAATTTCTGTATTATATGCTTTATAGAAAAATGTGGTCAAGTCAATTTTATATTCGTTGGTAATTCTTTACTCTGAGTAAGATCTGCAATCTGAAATCAAATGTTATCATCTTCAGCAAACTAATTTTGCAAGAGAAAAAAACAAACAATATATTTATTCCATTTTATTCATAGAATAAAATTTATCTTCAACCTTCTTTTTCATAATTCCTTACTATTTTACAAATATTTTAAGTGATAGAGCTTCTTTTGTTTGTTCATTTGATAGTCATCATAGGTAATGTTGTGCACAAGCTGTCTTTTAGAGGAGGATTCATAGATACATGATTTATTAAGGAAATGTTCCCAAGAAAAAACAAGTAAATGGGTAGGTGAAGCAGAACAGGCAATCGATCACACCAAATAAATATGACATTTAAGTTGAAGTCTTCACATCAGCCTAATCCCTTAGAATTCTCTGGAATTGAAATAGCTTTGCAGTTTTGGGTCTGTTTGAGGCAAGGAATCTGGGATTTGAAACTCCCACACCACACAGGTATTGGCTATGGGCTTGTTCGAGGGGACATAAACTCCCAGGCACTTCTGGTTTTGAGCAGCTCCGGTAACCCAAGGGTAGTTCTCTGAAGTTACAGGTACTTCACTATGCCCAACAGAGGATGGGAGCACAGCACAAGTAAATGACTTCTCAGGGGATAAGGGCATAAAAGCAGAGCATCCACAGCATTTTCTAGAGTAGTCTTTTTTTTTTTTTTCCTTCTGTAATCACTGTTAAAAAAAATAACATTTTTGGTTCTATAATGCCAATAATGATGGTTTCTGTTAGTAAACCATTTTAATTTATCTAAAAAAATTATTGGTTAAATATGGTTGGTTGGTTAATGGAATTTTGATCAATCACTATGTTTAACATAAATGCACAATGTGTAGAAGTACTGATTTGTGCTATGAAGGAAATTTAAATTTCATTTTAAGAAAGACATCATATAAAAAAATAATTACATATAGATATACAATTTAATCCTGAATAGGACAATCTGATGCATCTGCTTAGGATCCATAGAACAGAATGATTAGGGATGGTTAAAGAAGACAATGTTGAGGATGTGTATTTTGCTTAAAATTTCAATACATATCAATTGATGAAGAGAAAAAGATAATGCATTTTCTTATCAAAAAATATCATATATAGAACTGGGGTGGAAATCGCTCAATTACATGTAACATGTGTTTACCCTTATTGTCCCTGAAACTCATATTTAACCTATGAACTTTCCTTAGTTTTATTTAATTCTATGTTTTACTTGCTGTAACATGGCTTATAGCATGGCATTTTAACATTTTACCTTGGCCGGTGACCATAAACAAGATAGAAGGGCTAATATGATACAGGGATTTTCAAGAGTAAAAGTTCCTTAATAATGGGAAAGTGAAATCAATAAGGCAATATTACAGTGGCATAGATTTATAAAAGCACTTATACAGAAGTTTTGTTGGTGTACAGTTGACCTAGGCATCTATAATTAAAAATAATTTGCTGCATTTTCATCAAATGACTAGAATAGAGGAGATCAAATGTTCACATCACAAAGAAATCATTGTTTTGCAATGATGAATTCGCTAATTACTCTGAATTGATCATCACCCATTGTATACATGTATTGAAATATAGCTGTACTTCATAAATATGTACAATCAATACGTTTAATAGCAAAATTTTAAAAAATTAAAAAATCAGTTGCACAAGGACTAAGTTGCCACATAAGGTAGAAAGCCCCAATATAATCTAATAGTATTTTGTGATTGGTAAAAAATAATGAGACAACTTCACAGTACTTTCATAAAATAAAGTATGCAGATTATGGAAGATAATAGTACTCTCTACTGGTTGAATAACTTTTGTAGTATTACTTCCATTTCTCAGACACCTTTAAAGAAAGACAAACACAAAACAAAAGGTCATCTAAGGAAATGAGACTGGTATGTAAAAGATTTGGAGACTTTGCAGTAGAAAGCACGCTTAAATATTCTAAATGTTTGGAATCTGAAGAAGGGAAACCTCAGAGAAAATATAATGTCTATATTTAAATATTTGAAGGACTGTAGTGGAGGTCAGATTGCAGGTTTTGTTCTGTGTTGCTCTGGAACAGAACTTCTGAAGTTATAGCTCTCCAGATATGAATAAAATAGGCTGTTTGTGACTTGTGAGTGTCATCCTGGTAATGTTTCCCTAGTGGTGATGTCCAAGGCTACATCCCATTTTTAAGGGCTTGTATAGAAGAATGGGAATAAATTAAGTCTAAGGTCCTTTCAACTCTAAAATTTCCTTAATCTGTGTTTTTGAACCTGCACAGTTATAAGCTATGTGCTAGAGCATATTTGACAATGAAATTTACAGTCTCTGTTAAAAGCATTAATAGCAAACATTTTAAAAACAATTAAGGTAAATATAGTAGGTGGTTAACAAAAACAAAGTAGGTGGAAAGAAATAATGATGAATAATTCATGTCTTCATCATTAACGGGATATGGATACTCAAAAATATTTTGTTGTATTTGCTACCTCTGAAAATTATATTTTATTAAAATGCAAAATTTTCACCTTTAGGTTTTCACTTCCAGTTACTGCAACAGCAGAAAACTGCATTCTTACTATATACCCATATATAGCAATTCATCCGGATAAGCAAAAATTTATTTTAAAGAATGGTAAGTTACATCCGACTGATTTCTCTCTCCCTCACTATATAGGTCTTTAATCTAAGGCTGACAAATAGAAATAAAGTGAACTTAAAATGAATAGACGTTTATTAAGTACCTGCCATTATCAGAAGCTGTGCGTATCATTGAGAATCGAAGATGACAGTGTCTCTTAATTCCAAAAGTTGACAATCTTGTGGAAGATACATAAATAAATTAATACAAAGAAGATTAAATTAAGATCTCTCTATATGAGTCAATTGAAATGTTGTACATGTGGGGGTGGTGCGGAGGTTAGTGCTGATGTTGTGAGTCTGTAATGACTTTGTAGAAGACTTGAAATTTATGTAGAACTTGGCAATGATGATCTTGAAAGGGATGACTTGAGCAAAGGGCCATAAAGCAGAAGCATGGGCGTGTGATGGGAGACATGAGGCAGGAAACACAGGTTCAGGAACATACGGCTGAGCCCTTTATTCTGTTATACTGGGAACCTTCTATGGGTTTTGAGTATCAATGATTTGGAAAGGGAGGAGTTGTGGAGATGTGAGAGGAGTTAAAGTGGGACAGAGAGTGGTCAGTAGGCCAGCCTGGAATTCCTGAAGGAGAAATTGTGAGAGAAACTAAGAACAATGGAGAAGAAGGGAGTGAGCAGAGAGTTCTACGAAATGCAAGACAAGGGAAAAGAGGATGATTGGTGCACTAAGTCCCAGAGAAGAGAAAGGATGGAGAGTAAGGAAAAAATCCTGCCTCTGTAGCTTGTCAAGTCCTTAATTTTCAGTGCTGAATTGAAAATCTTTTCTGTGTTTTTAACCAGTTTTCCCTTATATTCCATTTGCTTCTTCAAATTTTTAGCACTCTTATGAAACCTATAAGATCTGGTTCTGCCTCAATCTCAGGGGATGACTTTTTCTAACTTTTCAGAAGAAATAGAGACCATCAGGCATTAACACTTTGAACTTCCACATTCCAAGCTTGTATTCAAACCTGTCATCTCTGCTTTTATTCCTGTCACAAGGCCAGGAGCCAGGACTCTCTCCTGCCTTAGGCCATTCACTTATCTGAATCCCATTACCCAGAGACCCCACCTAATTAGATATCATGGATTACTCATGCCCTTCAACTTCTGCCTCCTTAACTGCTTTGGGTGAGTGTCTGGGAAGACAGCAGGGAGGAGAAAGGCAACTGTCTTCTCAGTGGACAGGCTCATCCCCAAAGAGCATAAAGGGCAGACTCAGGCTATGCATCCCATATTTAATCTTCCCAAATTTACCAGTCGGATGAATCACTTACCGTCTCAGAGAGAGGGAGAAAAGTAGCAGAGAAAATGAAGCAATTAGAATACCTCAGTTACCTTTAACAGGAAAGAAATTTCAGGAGTGAGAAAGAAGTTATACTGATATTGACTAAACGGTGATATGAGTCCTGAGAACAGCTAAGACTGTTGACTATTCTCTGTCTCTCTCCAAACTCTCCCTAGGCTTCTACATACCGTACTTGTCTAGGTCTCCTCTGACCTCTCTGTTTCTTCTGAGCATCTCTCATGGGTTCTACTTCCTGTATCTGTATTTTTAAATTCTTTGTGTCAATGGGAGTTCTGATCCCCTCTTCTTTTATCCCTTGCATGACTTCAGTTATAATTCATGGGCTATATCTTTAGCCCAGATCCCTCTGAGAGATTCAGGAAATCAGAATTTAACAGCATTCTGGATACCTTTCATTGGATCCCCCATAGGCACCCCAAAAACATTATGGTCCAAACTAATCTCTTTTTGAATTTTTTTTCCTCCTTCTGTATACCCCACGATGCACCTTCAGTCGATCCAGCTGCCCAATCCAGAAACCTGAGTGCCATCCTTGAGTGTCTTCTCTCTCTCACTACACCTCCAGTCCACCAATTTCTATCCCTTTTGCTGCCTGAACAAGTGTCAAATCCGTTCATTTCTCTCCCTCTCCACTGCCACTGCACACATTCCAGCTGCCATAATGTCTTGCCAGTATCACTTCAAAGGTTTCTAAACTGTTCTCCTGCCTCCTGTGATGTTCCTCCCTTTCACAAACCATCCTTCACACTGTGGCCACAGTAATATTTATAAACTGAAAATCCAATCTTGTAATTCCCAGGTGTAGAATCTTTCTATGGAATGCTATTGCTAGTATTGCTAGTAAGATGAAGCCTACAAGACGCCACGTGGCATGGTCCTAGCCAATGGCTTCACTCTCATTTCTGGACATCTTTCCCTCTATTCTCAAGCCACATTAAACTTCTGTGAGTTCTTCCAGCATCTAGATCCTCAATGAGGATATTTCTTGTGACTGGAGCATTTTCCCTACCACACTCTACACACCTACGGAAGATCCCTGCCTTTGCATGCAAAGGTTTTGTGTTTCTCTGGTGTACCCACATAACTCTTGCAATTCTCCTGTCATGGCCCTTTCCATATTTTGACTTAACCCACCTCTTATCTGTGTCCCTTTCTAGATGTTGATATCCATGAAGTCTGTGAGAACAGGAATCATCTCTCTTCTTTTCACCCTTGTGTCCAGAGTACCTCACACTTTGTCTCACAGCTAGAAGTCATTTATTTGATATTATAGAATGTATCATCTGAATTATGGACCATCAGGAAGTCATGTCTCAGCTATGTATTTTCACAAGGCAATGGGTTATATGTGGAATAGTATATTTTTTTGACTTAACCCACCTCTTATCTGTGTCCCTTTCTAGATGTTGATATCCATGAAGTCTGTGAGAACAGGAATCATCTCTCTTCTTTTCACCCTTGTGTCCAGAGTACCTCACACTTTGTCTCACAGCTAGAAGTTGTTTATTTGATATTGTAGAATGTATCATCTGAATTATGGACCATCAGGAAGTCATGTCTCAGCTACTTATTTTCATAAGGCAATGGGTTATATGTGGAATAGTATATTTGGAAAAATATTTTAAAGTACTTTATGAAATAGCCCACTGGCAGGGTAGACATAGATAGATACATGAGAGAGAGATAGGTAATCTCAAAATTCTAACACACATTGTCAGAATTTAAAGTATGTTTCTGACTAATCCTTATGTTATATTTTTATATTCTTCTAAAATTCTTGGGGGGAAGGGAGTTTTCAGATAACACTACATAATGGGAATAGCAGTGAACCTGGATGGAAATTCAATTTTGTTTTCTAACTCCTCTGTTTTGCCATATGATTTTATCTTTAATTCTCAGATACTCAAATTTATCATCTTTTATTAAACAAAATGTGCATGGCAGGAGAGTATCAGGATACTAATATTATTTCTTTTGTCTACTTCAAAGAGCTTTTGTGAGAACTTGTAGACTAAATACTTGGAAGATATTATTATTACTATCATTTTATTATTATTGCCATTATAAATGTGATTGTGAATTGCTTTGCCACTCTTTTATATTTTCATATCTTTCCAGAAAATAATGAAAAATTACTGTACAATAAAAAAATATTGTTATCTCTTTAAAATGAAAAAATGGGCTGGCCCGGTGGCGCACTGCTATAGTGCGCCGCTTGGGAAGCGCGGTGGCGCTCCCGCCGAGGGTTCGGATCCCACATAAAATGAAAAAATGGGCTGGCCCGGTGGCGCACTGCTATAGTGCGCCGCTTGGGAAGCGCGGTGGCGCTCCCGCCGAGGGTTCGGATCCCACATAAAATGAAAAAATGGGCTGGCCCGGTGGCGCACTGCTATAGTGCGCCGCTTGGGAAGCGCGGTGGCGCTCCCGCCGAGGGTTCGGATCCCACATAAAATGAAAAAATGAATAAAGTCTTCGTATCTGTTAGATAATTGTTTGAGTATGACATCTGTGGATTAAAAATAATGCATCCATTTGGGGAAATATTTTTAAAGAAAGAACTCATGACTCTTAGATATTCTAAAATACTTTTAGAAATATGTATAATAATTTTTAATGTATATTTGATGCTTCCCAGGTATATAGTATTCTGCTATGTGCCTTACATTTGTTATTTCATTTAGTCTTCTCAACAATTCTCAGTTAGATGCCCTTATAGACCTCACTTTACAGATTAAGGCTCTGAGAAATGGAGAGGGTGACCAGCTTGTCCCAGGAAAATCTAACCAAATTTGTGAGACCTCAAAACCTACACACTTAGCTATTGTGCACTACAGTATGATGTGCTCAATACAGGTGAAATCTTAAAATACATTAACTATACCCCAAAGTAGGGCAGTATTAATAATTTGGTATAGATCACACGCTTAATTGAAAAACTACATATGTATTTTGATGTCTGGCCTCGGGTCACATATGCTAGCTTTTCATGGTCAGCACTGCCTTTGTATGAGGATTCCCACTGTGGCAAACTCTAATGTATATAGAGCAAATCTAACTGAAGTAGAGAGGGAAATCTGTGCAAAATGGTATCAGCTCAAAACCAAGCAGTGTGGTCATTTCAGAGAATTAACTAGGAGGAAATTGCTTTTCTTAGTGATTCTTTTCTTATAACTTATTTTGAACATGATGTATAATAATTAAAAAGGTTTTTTTTGGTGTACAGCTATTTCATGTGTTTTATATATTCTTGTTTATGGTAAATTTGAACATTGTTCATTCTCCAATAACTTTGATGTACCATAACTGTGTTGTCAAATACATTTAATTCAATTTAGAAAACCATATCACCTTTTATGTTATTGTTTTCTTATTTGATATCTTATATGATATATAATGAGTATTTAGTTTACTTTGCTATATATATATATTTTGTTATATACATATATATTTCTTTTACTTTGTTATATATGTATATAACACATATATGTATATATTACATATACATATATACATATGAGTGTGTAATATATATATATGTATATATATGTATATATATATATATATATATACATATACACACACACACACACACACACACACACATATATATATATATATATATATATATTTCAGGTTAAATACTGTAATGTGATAGTGAATTCCACAATTGCTTGTTTGACTTACTAAGATCTGATGTGTCATCGTAGATACAGACAGAAGTCCTGTGAAGACTAGAGACAATGTTTTACTTCCCCCCCAGGATGCTTCAGTGAGAAAGGCATCCACCACTACTAAATTTAATGATGCTGAACTTGCAAGAGGAAACTTATTTGTTGGTATGTGACAAATATATAGTGCATGTCACAATTCCAGTCCATGATATGATGTGCTTAATATCATTTAATTTAAAAGTATCACTTAATTTAAAAGTTAGGATTTTTCAGGTAACAAGAAATTTATGAAGAAAACCATGAATTTGTCATTAGTCTTAAGTGGGTCATCTGTTTTCAATAGCAGAGGTTCTTTAATGTTCTTGGTTCATAGCACTCTTAGATTCTCAGTATTTTTCCCTAGGCCAAAAGATGTACCAAATAGTTCCAAGTGGTTTGGTACAAAAATCTATGAGTAGTAGCTTATGTGCTGTCCAGCAGATGTTGCAGTAATATTTAATTAAGATTTTAAATATCTTGTGGGTACCCTGTAAATTTGTTGTGACATCTCAGTTACCCTCTGTACACAGTTTGGGAACTGCAGAACTAGGAGTTTGTCTCTTCCTTATCCAGCTGTATCCAAGTTTGCTTATCTTAGAAAGAGGTGAGCACAGGTAAATTTGTGAGTTTGACTTAATAATTTGTAATTAACTGTCCAAACATTCCTTTATCTGGATATGGGTAATACTGAAAATTTTCCTTTTTATTGAATGGACCAAACCAAGTGAAATAGTGTGAGATTTTTAGTGAGTATATGCTTGTACCAGTACATAGGCAGATATTTTGGGGGAGGGGGGGAAGAAAATCTTTTTATATCCTCAAAATTTTTCTTAACTCAAAAATATTTTGTTTTATTGATGTGATTGATTTGCATAAAAAGCTATTTGGAATCTGAAGTAAATATTTTTTTTTATATAATTTTTTCAGCTGTTTAATTTTCTCTAGTAAGTAAACCTGAAGAATTGTCAAGACATTTTATCTAGGTAATTAAAAATGAAAGGTTCCTCTTTGGGGAATGTTTTCACTTACCATTATGGCAAGAAAAAACTTAACTGTTTTCTTTATTAAAATTAATCTATTTTTAAAACATTTCTATTGGGTAATAGAAAATAAATATGTTTTTATTATTTATTTTAAGATAAAGTAAATTGACTTAGAATTTCTTTGAGAGTACAGAATAATTTGTAGAATAGGCTCTATTTGTCTACGTACAAATGGAAATAGTGGGCAGAATATTTTACTCTATGGTCAAGTAACCATTTTTTACAAATAAATTTGATTTTTAGGAATGGAAATAATACATGAAAATTTGAACTCAGATGAAAGTAAAACGTCCAAGAAAGATGATCAATCTATGGAAAACAAAGAGAAGAATGAACAATTATTTTATCCTGAAAAAGGAACAAAGGCATATAATTTCTTTCAGAAGGTTGTAAATGCAGTTCAGACCTGGTTCAGTCTCTTCGGCTGGTCTGAAGGACCCCATAACCTTTCTATTCCAGAGACTGTAAGGTGACAGTTACATATTTCTCTAAATTCCTTGCTTTGAATCATATTGTAAAATATAATGTATTTATTGGAATCATTTTAAGTGAAACACAATATTAAATAATTTATTCTAAACTGATAAATTATGAGAAGACTATTAAGAAGAGTACAAAAATGCAAATATCAATTATTTGGTATATATGTACTTTTTAATTTCTTCTAAACATCTGATGATTTTAGGCAAGCACTGGAAATCGCTGGACCTCAGTTTCCTCATCTGTGAAATGAGAAAGAGTAAATTATGGGTAGGAAAAGCCCTTTTAAACTTGAAAATTTTGGAAACTGCACATTTTTATATAAGTAAACTGTCAAACTTAAATAAAGCCAGGTAGACAGTGGTATTAGGGAACAGAGAGGGCTCTCTTTTCTTTGACACATCTCCTTTTTGACAGGACATTTACCTCCCTTCTTTAATGTGTTATTTTATTAATCAGCATGTCTAAAATAGTTAGACTGCTTTGGTTATATCAGGTCACTTAATTCTTAAAAAGGAATTTAGGCCCCTCACACTTGTTATGACGTTGCTGATGTAGTGGGTTCTCAGAGCTTTTCTACTTCCTTTCTCAGCACTGGGGTCACTTGCTGCCACCATAGAGGAAGTAATGATCTCTATAGCTAGGCAAGGTATGTTTAGAATTTTTGCTCTATTTTCAAGAGTGAGCCAAGTCAATAGTTTTCTTATATGTTATATTTCTCAGTTTTAAAATTAATAGGACAATTTCGACTTTATATAATGAATTAGATAATATTTCATCTTTGACCATGCTGTGGGAAAATTAATGCAGCAGATACCCTAAAAAGCCCAGGTTTAATCATAAAATCATCTGGCTCAAGTGAATTTTTTAGAGAAGTTATTCTGCAATAACTCTTCAGTTTTTTGCTTTGGTGTCTGTTCTTCTGAAAATGTTACCTATTTTGAGTACATTTTAATGATTTCTTTTCATTTTGGGGAAAAATGATTGATTGACAATTTAAAACTCATCATTCAACAGTTGTGACTAGTAGTCTTCCTGTTTTTTATTCCCCTATATGAAGTTATAGTCTCTTCCTTATTGATAATTGTAATTTTATTTTTTTATTGATTATAGGCGTCAGTGGTTTTCTTTTTTGTCTCATATAATGAATAAGTTTTTGGATTAATTTGTCCACTTCTGTGTTTTCTAAACCATGTAATGTCGAATTGTTTCTTTATACTTTACTTTTTTTAAACTTGAATTTTATGCTTAATTATTTTCACATCTGTAACTCTTTATTCCACTTTGGATGCATTCCAGAATTTTTGCTACTAAGAAAAATGTTCAGATGTTTGTTGTTTTCATAGAAGTTGGGATTTTAGTTTTTATTTTCTATATATTGTTTGCTATAGTAGGGATTGCTAATTTGTTGTATCATTTGTCATTGCTTTCATGTGTCATTATTTGCTTGCCAATTCACATTAATTTGGAGGCATTTACTTATGCTATTTTGTTATGTTTTTTGTTGGTACAAATGTAGAAATGAATCATTTGTTTATAAATGGTAGTGGACATTTCTGGATACTAATAGGAAGTTTCTCAGAGATGGGATCATTGAATCAAATAATATAAACTCAAAGTCTCTTATAATACATTCTTGGATGATTTTCTAGAAACTGTTATATATTATAACCCCACTAATGAAATACATTGTCAGGCTGGTTGTTTCCTGAGTTGAATGCTGTCACATTTTTAAATCTTTACTATTTTGAAAAGTGAGAAACAATCCACATCACTGGGTACTGCCTGGAGAAAGGCAGTTCTAGAGGAGTATGGTGGCCTGCTAGCCTTGGGAAAGAAGTTGCCCACAATCAAAAAACTGTGAATAAAGATAGACTTTGTACAGGTTACAATGTAATTCAGCGTCATTTTTTGATTTGGAATATGTGGATCATGGACTCTCAGGCTAAGAAGAGACCTCCAAGTTCATACATTTTTGTTAGCATTTGAACCCCCTTCTCAAGGTCTCAATATTATCCCATCATCTGGACTCATCCAGTGTTTCTGATACTTCTGTGCAATATTTTGTGAGTAATGTGCCATTCTCTCAGAATTCTTTTATGGTTCCCATTTCTCTGCTATTCTTCTATTCAGCTATTTATTGAAATGAAATCTGAGTGTGGGGATCTTTTTCGTCATTCAATCTGCTTGGCATTCAATAGGTACTTTCATTTAAAAAACTAATCTTTTAATTGTTCTTCCCTGACTCCTTTTCTGCTATTTTGTTCTTTCTGTTTTCTCTATTTTTTCTATTCTGTCTTTCTGAACCTACTATTAGAAGAATGCTATACCTGCTTTACTGATCCTTTATGTCCCTTGCAATAATGTTTTATGCTTTTCATCTTTTTCTATCTTTTACTTTTTTATACTTGTAGTTCTCTTTCACTTTCTCTTCTGGTCTTCTATAAAATCTTTCAATTGGTATTTAAAGTTTTGTTTTCCAAGAATTCTGTGTTATTATTTAACGGGTCATTTGTCCCTCCCTTTCTCCTTTCCTGCCTCCCTCCTGCCCTTCTTTCCTTCCTTCCTTCCTTATTTCTTTTCATCTTGTAATAGCAACCCATTTTGTGTTATGGATGCATGTTTTCTCAAATATCTCTTTTAAAGTATAAGCTTTTTTCTAAATTTTATTTTTCTTTGAATTGATTCATTTCTCCTGAGCCCTTTATTCTTTTTTTTTTTATTTTTAATTTGATAATTTTCTTTCCAGTTGATGTTTTTTCTTAAATAATTCTGATTTTGGGGTATTATTTATTCATATATATAAATGAAGAACTTGGTTGTAGATATAATCAGGAAACAAGGGTTTTTCTTGCCACTGTGTAGGTCTGTTTTTCCATCAAATATTATTTATTTATTTATTATTATTATTGATTATTCATATTCATGAGGCAAGAGCTGACCATCAGTCCCTGTGCCCAAGAAGTGGTGAGCAAATCAATGTTATCAGCATGAAAATCTTTTCCCAGAATAGAAGGTAGAGAAAAGTCTTGAATTAAGTGGACAAGTCATGGCAATAGGAATGCTTTACTTTAGGGTACTGGGAAAGGAGAAGCCAGACCCACACAATGCAAAGATAAGGGGGAGATTTATTCTAGAGCATGGACATCCATACATGTGCCCTAAATCTCCCAGGTATCTGGAAGCTGAATTTATTTCAAGAGATCTCCAGTTTTTCCGGGATTCTAAGTCTGCTACTATCAGTCTCTTTGTAAATGTGTTGTGGGATAAGAGATGAAGTCTAGCTCTTCCATATGCAGTACTTCTATTAATCAGCATGATTACTGTACCACATATCACTTCTTCCCTCTGTATCTGCAAACTCTGAACTTGGAGTTTCTCTTGTGTTCCTCCAGGAAAAAATGGCTTCCTTTCCCCCTGCAGCATATTGCTATGCAGCACAACATTTTGACCTATTCCTCAGTACAATTTCATCCATTCTCTGTCTTTATATGAATATTTTTCAATGTTTCTGGTACATTAATGGTTCCTTTTCAAATTTCAGTGTTGTTACAGGTTATTCCTTTTCTGCAATCTTTCTGACATGTTAGGAATATTTTGAGAGGGAGAGAAGATAAGCACATACGTTCAGTTTATTATCCTGAACAGGAAGTTGCCCTTCTTTCTCATGTATTTCTATAGTTTTACTCTTCCTGTTATCTTCTTATGGTTTAATCTTAATGACTCATCATTTCTGTTGTTGATTTTATTATTGCTATCCAGTGATCCATACACTACTGAACTTGCTTTTTGATTTCTCTCTTACCTTATTCCTTTAAAATAATTTTGTGATGGTATTTTATTAGTAATAATGGTTGATGTGTATTGGACTCTTACTATGTAACAAGGCATCATTGTATAGGCTTTATGGATATTAATTTATTTACTTTTTAAAACCACCCTGTGATGTACCCACTATTATTATCCCCATTTTACTGATGAGAAATGGAGGCAGAGAGAGAATAAGTAACTTTCTCAAAGTCACACAGCTACTAAATAGCAAAGCCAGGATTTGAACCCAAGCACTCTATCTCCAGAGCAAGTACTTTAAAGCATCATCCTACTTGCCATTTATTGGAGGATCAGAAAAAGATTTAGAAAATTTTAAGACTTGACAGGTATAAACTCCACCATTTGGCATTTTTGTCCTTGTCTTTAGGCTGTACACTGTAATTACCTGTGGTTAAGTATATCAGATCAAGAAGTTTAAGAACCCAGTAGTTTAGAACTGAGGAGAAACATGTAATCCTAATGTTTATAGGCTAAATCCAGGATTTCTGACCAAGTGAAGCTTAAAGTCCTGGACAAGTCATCAGTTCTAGTGTCATACACATTAACAAGGAAAGTGCAATTGCTAAGCTTTATGTACAGTAACCCCCAGCTGGAGAGTCATTTGCTTACAGGATGCAAAACTGGAATCTATTGTAGGTTAATGGTGTGGGTAGCAAACCGTTTTTTTGTTTTATTTTCAATATTATTGAATCGTTTGTGACATGTTTGTGCATCACCTTTCTCAAACCTGAATCTAGAAGTGGTTGCAAATGCTGCTTTTCTGGTGTATCTCAAGTAATTTCACTCTACAAACACCAATTCACAGCAGCAAGAGCAATAGGGCCCAGTTCATTTGTTGATGTGTGATATATTCAGGTAAAAGAGCAGAAACCAAAGAAATTATTTGAAGGGATTTCCTATTCATCAGTTAATTCTTATTCTGTTTCCTTTTTCTAAGGGCTATGATAGCTTTATAATGTCATATTTTCTCTTTCACAGTGGTTTTCTTTCCTAAAAATAATTCAGTATCCAACTATTCAATTATGTGACTTTTGGGAGCTTTCTTTTCTTTTTTACAAATTTTAAAATTTGAAAAAAAAAATCAACATAATAATTATACATATTTATGATACAGTCTTAAACTTTTGACAAATTATAACTATATATAATTATGTGGTAAACAGC